GACAGAACTTTGGAGTCCAGTATGTTCCCTTGCTTATTTATGAGTTGAGTAAAGCACTGGGTGCAGCACTCTCCTAAAACATAGACTGTGCAACATTTTGACTACAATCATGCATTTTGTTCCATTGAAATGCTTGGCACAATGTGCAGTGTACCAAAATGTAGTATCAACATAATGGCATTGACATTCAGCAGTTTGTTTGGCATCAGAACACACATTGCTCTGTGTGAAATGACACTGTCACCAGTGTATGGAGCTACAAGGGCACAGCACCTCCAGTCTTGCCCATTCCAATGTGTGATGGGATTTCTTAATACAGAATAATTCCGGTGACAGGATTGTCAGTTTGAACACTTCACAACACATTGGTGCCCACAGACAACAATCCCTGAAACCTAGTGACGAAGTCTGCACCCAACACATCTGCTGCTGCTGATTGACTTACTGCACATGCATTTCCAAGGCGAAGGCGGGCAACCAAATACACATGACATAAGCGTTGCAATATCCTGTATTGTGCCATTGCTTGTTCCTTGCTACGTTCAGCTGTGGCCCCTGCCAGTCAGGCCCAGCACAGACTGCTGGAAGCTGAAAGTGTTCATTCGCTGGGCAGTCACTTCGTTCGGAGGCCAACAACGCCTTCTGGTCGGATTTGGTATTCACAGGCGGCTGGCGGCAGATGCGGCGAGAACAAAATCTGCAAACAGAAGCACCACATCACACTTGTTCCCAGGTTTCTTGAGCTGATTCGTTTTGAGTCTGAGGAGAATGACACAAATAGAACTGGGACACATGTACAACAAAGTATTCTTTCTCCTTTGAAAGGAGAAAACACAATGCTGCATGTGCATCGCCTAGAAAATTGGCAAAGTAATGGGTTGCACCAGAAAATCCCAAGCACACAAGCAATAGGGACACAAGTGATTGACACTTCAAAGTGATTAAACTACGCAAGCACAGTATTGTTACATGCCTGGAAGGCACTCGACAATGGTAAAAGCTCAAGAACTGCACCGAAATCTTGATTGCAGTTCAAGAGGGAATGCCCATTGATCAAAAACCATTGAGATAAAACTTCAGCTGCCTGTAGAATGGCAATGAGTGCGGGATGTTGTGTCCAGGGACAAAAACCTTGGATCCTTTGGAAAGCTTGCTACTAAGAGGAAGGAATGCCCTTGCAACTAAGCGTTTTGGCAGGCAACATTCCAGCCACAATCATTTTTCAAGAATGCCCTCAGTCATTTCTTTCAGCCGGACCAATGGACTGCAAACTGAATGCTGAGTTAAAGTTGGTAAATTGCACCAGAAACACAGTGAAAACATCACAGCTTAGTCTAAGTTCAGCACTTCGGGCATGAATGTTAGCAAATGGAACCACCATGAATATGTTTAAAAAGTGCTTTCGCTAGTAGAAGATGACAGGTTTCCAGCAAAGACAATATTACCCACCATCGTGTTTTCACCTTATCAATGCTGGAAGATGGTTATCTTCCACTGGCAAGACACCTGTTTTTTCTGCAAGGATAGGCCGCCCTCTTTTGCGCAGGAAGAAACTAGTTTGCACAATGGCTACCCCTTTCCCAAATTTCCCTTGTGCTCCCCATCTGATAGAGAATGCATGGCACACACGTGCACCACAAGAGGATACTGCTTGCATTTAATGGCCCCAATACATGGTTTTGAATCAATGGATTAATGTGACAGAAATGATGTTAATGAAATACTTGAAATAAACACATTAATTGTATGTTTCTTATCCAATTATCACCTGTGGGCACACAGGTTTTGATCGTCATGGCCATTGGCCAATACCATTCGTGGACTTGCAAGCACACACCTGGAGTTTCCTTGAGGCGTCCAGTCCCTGTCCAGTACGGGATGCGAAAATTCGGGTGTTCACGCAGTTGGACCAGGCGAGCCCAAGGGATGGCAGCACCCCTCGGCCAGAGGACTGTAGTTCCTGCAAACCAATGCATGTTGGGGTCTCACGAAATTGGAAAGAATGGCAGGAAATCCCAATGATATGGCGCAGCCACTGTCTGGCGTTTAGCTACAAACACTCTACTGTGAGCAAGAAACAAGCCTTTGGGAATGTGTGCAGCCTTGGCAGTGCATTTTGAAAATGAAGGACTGGCCAAAGAATGGCAGGACTGTTGTCAAGAGAAACAATGCCAGTATTGCATACAGGTGCAAGACCATCAGTCAAGGTCCAAAATGCCCACAGGGTTGTGGCAGTATTTTAGCCAATGGGGAAGGGCAAGGGTTGATGATGGCTGCCAGGATGATGGGGAAGTGATTCTTTGTTCCTCTTTATCAGTGAACAAAAAGAAAATTGGATACTTGTGGAATATATATACACCTTTTTTTGTAATTGATATAGCTCCAATTAAACATGGACAAACAATTTGTTCTTGCCAGCTTGTCAGCACACCTCATTGACCCCTTGCATTGTGTCTGCCACTTGGTTGACAACAAGCACAGCCAGGTTGTGTCGATCTGCCAATTCCTGGGACACAGTGGCACTGCCTCTCAGTGATGCTGCATTCCTTGATGAACACACTGAAATGCAAAGAAAGCCTCCCATTTGCATCGATCGCAAGGCATATAGCCAGTTCTCTATTGCCACCCTCCCAAGCTTTGAGGTTAAGTTTCGTTCAACAGTGTCGAAACGCAACAGAGCCAGCTTCTTTGCCAATCTAGCTACCAGCATAGCATTACACAGGTGAATTCTGCTTTGTAAGCCCTTGCCAGAAAAGGCAAGGCTTTTCACCAATTGGTGCCATTGAGCTATGCGCAAAAGCAAGGGTTCATCGTTGTATGACCAATTGCCCTCTGCAGCTTGTGCGGTGTCAGGGGGTTGATGGCCACAATTCAATTCAAAAAAGTTTTTGTAACAGATATTGTTTGATGCAATCCAAAGCCATCCAACTTTCAAAGATACAGTGGTAGTATCAGCTGTATGATAAGATAAATGCGATGCAATCTCAAGGAGCACCCTGGATCCAGCAAACTATTTGAAGATGCTGCCTTCCATTGCCAACAGTGCAACACATAGTACAGGCTGTATTGCTGGACTATATGATAGTAGTATTGCACTTGATGGTACAGTTTGTGCCATGCCCTTGTAGCTGAACCAAATTGTGTGAGCATAATCACATGGTTTTTGCCCGTTCGCTGCCATGGTAAGGCAATGAATGCATTCTAGAAATGCGCCAAAACGTACCTTGAGCACAGCAGCTGCTCTGAACATCATCGATGTGCGCTCCTTTAGTTCTGTGACCTGCAGCAAAGAAGACAAGCTTGAGTTTTCAGCACCCAAGAGCCTTCGCATGTTCCCTGTTTCCCCCATTGCTGTCAGAGACCACTGTATGGCCGTTTTCAGGGCAGAAACAGCTTTCAACTGTTCGCGAAAAGAATGCATATGCACATTCCTGCATCTTTTTGCAAGAATAGCCACACTGTTGGAGACCAATGATGCCCACCACATACGTACCATGCATTCCAACAAAAAAAGAAACAACCACCGCGTATTGACAGGCATGTACATTTTTGCGATAGCTGCACTGACAAACAAGCAAGCACCAAGCATGCCACACATATACACAACACATGGGCTTGGACGCTCAGAGAGGCCTGCTTAAACAAACACAGCCAAAAGGGCACGTCTGCAATGTGCCAAGAGTTTCCAGCATCTCGGTTGTACATTGGCATTAACAGCATATCAGTTTTGCTGGCCCTGTGCCCAATGATAGGGCATTGAACATAAAGCATTCGTTGCTACAAGCTGCACCAGTTGTACCTTTCTGTGGAGACATATGCTAATACAGATGCGTGTGCATGTAACATATGACAACATTTTCACGCAGCTCACATTTGCGATACATGCAAGCACATCGAAGTTTGGGCTGCCATTCGCAGCGGACTCACAGTGGGTCGATCTGACACATCTCGAAACACGTTGGCGACTGAGTCAATCATCACAAGGCGAACCTGCCACCACAACACACATATGGGCACTCCTTCAGTGGTTTGTTAAGAGGGCTTGTCCCCTCCATTTCTATGGGTCAAGACTTCTTGGGCTACTTGGACACACACTGCTCCATTTGACAACAGGCCCTCCTGAATATCCCACAGTAATTTTGTTGTTGGGAAATAACTGAGTAGATTGAGAAGAACACAGTTTTTGCAACAACTCGAACTGCTCACACACTTCTGTCCAATATCAATAGCTTCCAAGGTCGCACTTAGTGTGCTCTGTTCCAGCCCAATCACTAATGTTTTGCACCAGTCAGATGCCATCGCTGTGGCTCATCCAGTGCCCACTGCCTCACCGGCATTCTCATCGAGCTTCCTTTGATGACATTGGGCAGTTGATTGATGCACACCCACAGATCCTTTGGGGAGGCGATGTCACAGTCGATGAGGACATTGTCAAGGGGCGGCAGACTGCCATGACTGAGCTGCCTGAGAATCACACACTCTAATAAGCACACTGGATGGTACGCTACATTGATCGATGCCATGACGTCATGTCGATGCATCCATGTTAGGAAGAAACAAACGAACAAACAAACACTCTAATAAGTGTGGGAGTTCGTCGTTGTGTGAGTCAATCAATCAAGCTTCCTTAAATTTGATGCTCCAACAACTGAAGTCACGGCACCATCATTGTGTGAGTGGTTGTCAGTATCCAAGTTGTGATCCACAGCTGTGAGAACCCACCCATTGAAAACAGTTGGGTGATAATGAGCAACACTGGGAATCAGTGAAGTGTGCAATGATCTAATGCTGACTCCGTTGAACACCCTGTGCATTGTTTAAGAAGAACATGAATTTACATGCGATGTTGCATTTGGAATAGAAAGCACAACAATGTCATCAGCAGCCTGCTCTGTGGGGGGCACATCTCCCCAACAATGGGCTTCTTTTCAAAAACGTGCTTGGAGATGAACCATCGTCAATCCATTTGTCAAAAGACGGGTACAACGTCAGTCCTTTCACCTACTAACTGGTTATGCCAACCAGTGTTTGGAGCTTTGTTTGTTTGAAGGACATTAGCTCAAAGGAATTATGTGGTTGTGAGTACGGGCTGGAAAAAAGCCGCCATCGTACTACTGCTCCCCTGGTAGTGCACTGATTGTCCAAAAGTTGAACAATCCAAGAGTGAATGTATGCATCATTGCCAGGATCATGATTAATGACATTCTATATTGTCAAGTGTGCCAGCCAAAGTAATGCGACTAGGCAGCAGCACTTGTAAAGAATCGAACAGAACATAGCTGCCTTTGCTGTCAATGTTGTACACTTCTGTCTGCATCAGCCCTGGATGGGGTGGCCATCGCTGAAACGAGCTGTCATTCCATCGCTGGCAGCAGAAACTGGGGACCCACAGGCGTTGAACCCTGGACACTGGCGCACACCCTGACCTTCTGACTCGCCGTTCCACAAGCTCACAGAGGCGCTTCACAGGAGGATCCCCTTCAGTGTAGATGTACCTTTGACAACACACACACAGTGTAGGGTCAGGCCATCAATCTCAATGTTGCTTTGCAGGCACATACAGGGAACTGAATGGACAACAGTGGTCCCTTCCATGGAGTGGATTGATGCTTTGGATCAATCTGGAGATCTTTTGCTCACTATCTACTATTGTGAGCCGAGACAGAATGCTTCCTGGTGTTGGCATACATACTGACATACGTGGATACTCCATGTATGCTAGCGACAATGCGGCAGTATGCATCCATCCTGTGAGTCACACATGCTCCCCAGGTGCAGGGAACAGCCACCCAAATACGCTTGCCTAAAACAAATCCCAAACATGCACGCAGCTCAGCATCAGACCGACCATGCTGGTGCCTCTCTTCACCATCTCATTTTCAACAAGTAAATCGTCCACCAATGTGTACATCTCTCCTGACATTCTCCAACAATAAGTATGTCGCTGTTTCCTGTGTCATGGCAATGCTGATTGGCAACAACACACCCGACCCAACAGGTGAAAGGCACTTGGGCAGGAGAGGACAATGGCAAGGACACTTGAACCCGCCAATGGGCAACAGCCTTACACTGAGCTCCCTTCCAGGCCACCCCTTTCCCTGGGAAGCTGCACACTCAGACAGGCCTGCAGGCACAGCTGCGTCTTTCCCACGCCAGATTCACCTACGGCAGCGGGCGGACGGTGGGTACATGGATGGCTGTTGGGTCAGCTGGCGTACAGTGCACCAGTAGAAACCGACATTCTCGCGATGCCAACTGCGATGCCATTTGACACTAATTCATGCCATCGCACCCACTTTTGCACCATCGAATCACTGAGATGGCATCACTTTGCGTCAAAATGGCATCACAATTGGCATCACAATGATGATGTTTTCTGATAGTGGCGAGCAAGATTCTTTACCAATAGAAAGAGAAATATTACTTGCCATGGACACCTTTGCCCTTTCTGAGAGATTCTGGGAGGCATCATTCGCACTGTATTGAAAAGTACACCGAGTTAACTTTTCAACAGCTTTAACAATCGCGATCGCTTTCGATGAGGACAGCGCCAACATTTGGGGGGAAGAGAGCGCAGACAGGCAGCGGATTCATGCAGCAGCCGAGCAGGCAACTGAGCACAAGGCACCGAGGGATCGGCGCGGCGAGTGTTCGCGCCATACTCCAGCACAATCCGGTTTCTGTAGGCCCAGGGACTGCCGGGCCACAGTCCTTCCATCCAGTGCCTGACGACTACACCATCAACCATCAGGTCCTTCATTTCGCCAACAACCCCATCGTCGACTCTCCTGACTCAGTCCAGTTTCAACCGTTGCCAGATCGCACTCCCAACCCCGCCCCAAACCCCTCTGATCAAATTCTTCGCGATCGACAGCGTCAATTGATCGACGTGGAAGTTGGCGCACCCACGATCTCCGTGATGCTGCCGCAGGGCAGGCCACCGTGCAGCAGGTCGTCCAGCACGGGGCAGCCCAGGGTGGCGCGGGGGAAGGCGCGCTCGCGCAGGGGCAGGGGGCGCGGCGGGGCGGCCGAGCAGGCGGGGCCCTGCATGCGGCAGGCATCCTGGACCTCAGGGTTGGCGGCACAGTTGTTTGGCGCCGTTTCATGGGCGGCAATCTGTCCGCAAAGGGCCCCAAGGCCCGGTGGTGCTGCTGCTCGGGAAGGTACCTGAGGTGCAGTATTTCCGGCCAAAAAAGGAGAAAAAAATGTCGTTCTAGTAATTTGGGTAAGGTACAGTATTTCCGACCAAAAAAGGAGAAAAACAGTGTCGTTCTAGTACAGTAGGGGTCCCTATATAGCGCCCCCCCCAATAGCGCCCCCGGCCCCCAATAGCGCCCCCTTTTTTGGCATGTCACCATTTATGTAGTACTTTATGCAGCTTTGTTGCGCAGTGGGACCTCAAACCAGTACAGGGGTCTGGTTTAGCGACCCCTATTTAGCGACCTGTCTAAGTTTAGCGGCTCCCTTTACGGCTCGTCACCGTTCCCGTAGTGCTTTGTTTCACTGCGACAGGCCCCAGCGCCCGCGACTTCGGCGCTGCGACAGTCGCTAGCCCCAAAAGCCGGTATGGACCCAGTAGGCTGGGGGTAGCGTACCCCCCACACTGACGGTCAAGGTACCCCGTACACCGGCAGTTAGGGTACCCCCTGCAGGCGGCCAGAGTACACCCTATAATGGCAGCCAGGGTACCCCCTACACCGACGGCTATGGTACCCCTTACACCGGCGGTCATGATACCCCCTACACTGGCAGTTTAGGGTACTCCCTACACTGGCAGCCAGGGTACCCTTTACACCGGCTGCTCAGGGTATCCAATTGACACAATAGCGCACCCGGCCCCCAATAGCGCCCCCCTTTTGGCCATGTCACGGGGGGGGCGCTATATAGGGACTCCTACTGTAGTTTGTGTTTCTTCCCAGACCGCCACTTCTCCGAAACGAGTCTGAGCTCCCGCATTCCTCCCTGGAGGAACGCGCCCCATGGCCTCACAGCGGGCCTTCTCTCCGGCCGCGGTCCGCCACCCCTGCCTTCGGTCCCTCCCCCGCGGCCCCGTCCCGGCCCCAGCCCTCGCCCCTTCCCGCGGTGGCCCACCCGATCGATCCCCATCGCCCGCCCCCGCCGCTTCCGCAGGTGCGTTGTTAGCCCGTTCTCAGCCCCACAACATTTTTCGACTTCCACATCGTCTTTAACAGCATGGAGCAGAGTCTCGGCGCTTTTTCGGGCAGGATGGGCACGCCCGCTGTGCGACGTGCTCCCGCCCTTTTTTGATCACGAATCTTCTCCAACCCCGCAAATGCACCCTCCAGTGTGCGTGCTTTCCTGCTACTGGTGTTGCTTGTTCTGCGTGCTCCTCATCTCGCACTGAGAGACTCTACCTCACCTTTCCGCAGTGTGGAAAAGTGTCTCACGCGCACTAACGCATGAGAGAGGGGGGGGGGGGGATTTGTATGGCCCATTTTCTTCTCGTAACAAATCTCACCACCGCAGATGCCGCCCTGGTGCTCGTGGAGGAGGACCAGCGCCACTACAGGGAGGTTAATGACCGCAGCGCCTCCCGGGCGGGTCTGGACTCCCCATGCCCCGCCGACTTCTACGAGCTGCTCGGCATCGACCTGGACGCCGACAATGACGCCATCAGATCGGCATACCGGTCCCTTCAGCGCATCGCGCACCCGGACGTGGCCGGGGACGCCGCCACGGGCCTGTCGATCCTGCTGAATCATGCGTACAAGACGCTGACCAACGAGGGGGCCAGGGCGGCTTACGATGCGGCAGTGAGGGCGTTCAGAGAGCGGGTGGGGTCGTTCACGGGGATGCCCGTCAGCGCGTGGCTGGGACCGCCCGGGGAACAGCGCGCGCTTTTCGTGGACGAGACGACTTGCATCGGTTGCCGCAACTGCACCTGCACCGCCCCGAACACGTTCTTCATGGTGCGTGACCTGTGCACTGTTTGTGGCTGTGGCTGTTGATCGACACTCGTTGGGTGTGATCGCGGGAGAGTGTTGTGTACCTTTGTGTATCTATGTGTTATGTGTCTACCGAAGAGGCCTTTTAAATGAGTCCACAAGCTGCAAGTCCATTCCTGATTGGGGCCGCAGTTGTCTACTTGCATGGCCTGTGGGCGCATTATGCAAGGGGATCGCTCAAGTCACGCCTCAATCTCAAGTCCAACTCCACTATGATTGCGAGTTTTGAATTATGGCAAAAGCAATACCAGCTTTCGGGATTGGTGACCTTCAGAGGAGGCACGAGTCATATTTTACACTTGGGAGAGGGCACAGGAGAAGGGCACAGAAAACTGTGGCTCAAGGGTGCCAACATCACAGCCTTCATCTTGCAATGGGGCATGTGTGTTACTGGAGGAAGTCTGTAGTGCTGATTGTGTGTGCAGAGATCGGAAGCCTTGCATGGCCGAAACCAGGAATGGACAGTGAGAATGTTGTCAGAATGGCAAGGATTTCCACGCTGCTAGTTCACATGTGTAGCCATTGGGACTTGGTAGAAATGCCTATATTTTCTGTTGGATTTCTGGCAAGGCTGGCATGACCCTGCCGCTGGGCAGTCGCCAGTGAACCTGGCTCATGAGGCCATTGGTGTTGGTGCCAGAAGCATGCTCTGCTGCTGCTCTGCTGCTGCTCTCTCCACTTGTAACTTCTATGGTGAATGTACAGCACTCAGATGCTGTTTGCTGAGCTGCCACCTTTGACTTTCCTCTGAATAGAGATAATTTAAATGCCACACAGTCTTCAAAGTCTCACACTAGCTGTTGCTTTTCTTCTCATGAACAGCTTGAATAGCAATCTGCACAGTTGCTGCTTCCCAGCTCCGACTGGACCTCATTCTCAATTTGTCACCATCGTTTGATGTGGGAAGGGACGATGGAGTTGCAGACTCAATCTTTGTCTTGCTTTTCGTTGCTGTGCTTTGGAGCGCAGCAGTGCCCTGCTGCTCAAAATGATGCCCTGGACGTAGTGCTGCTTTTTGTTTTGCAGTCAACTTGACCATGCCGTGTTTTGTCAAGAATAGTAAACTTTCTTTTTGGGGTGGGAATGAAAGGTGTGGTATGTTAGTTAAAGGCTGTTCACGTGTTGCATGAACTTCGTTCGGGGGCAAAGGTGTAGAACAGGTCAGCGCCGAAAAGTGGAAAAGGCCAAATCGGGTCGTTCGAACCCTGTTCTCGTTTGCTTGCTGCACAGCATGTTGTGACAATAGACAGGCTGTTGTCTTCCCCAGGAGGACGATTATGGCAGAGCCCGTGTGAGCCACCAATGGGGAGATGATGAGGAAGTTTTGAGAGAGGCGATGGACATGTGTCCCGTTAACTGCATCCATTTCGTAAGTTCACCATCTTCCTCTGACCGTTCACTGAACAAAACACAGATGATTGAAGGAATGTCTTAATGTCCAATGATTTTTGTTTCATGCTAGAATATTTTCTCATCATTTCACTTCTAGCATGCATCCTTGGGGAGCTCACGCGGGCCTGGTGGCTTTGCAACCCCCTTGCCTCTCCCTCTGTGACCGACTGTTCGACCATTGACAGGTAAGGAGGAAGCAGCTGGCGCTGCTGGAGTTTGTCATGAAGGGCTGCAAGCGCGAGGACATCGCCATCGTGGCGCGCCGCAGGAGCGGCAACATGGGCATCGCGCCGGCCTCCAACGACCCCTTCACGCGCGCCGAGGTCTTCCTGCGGCGCCGCGAGCGGGCAAAGTCGGCGGAGGAGATGACGGGCGAGGACCCCGGGAGGGCGCGATCTGAACAGGACGAGGAGCTTTCGGCGACGATCGCCTCAGCCTGGCTGGCCGTCGACCCGGAGCTGAGGGCCAAGGGGTGGCCGTCTTGGGAGCAGGCGGCCGCCGAGGCGAAGACCTGACCCAGTGTGTTCTGTTGAGGGGAGCGGTTTGGGGACGGCATGTCTGCCAGTCCCGCGCCGAGAATTTTTTGCTCTCTTCTTTTTTTGAAATCAACAGCCAGAATACGGTGCAAGGCTGGTTGAGCACTTGATTTCAAGGCTTGGGGCACACGCCGACATGAGGAGAATGGGGAGTGATTAGATGCCTCAGGGGCTAGTGTTTGTCTGACAGTATCCCTGGGTACCGTGTCAAAGCCGTTTACTAAATGGTACAGCAATCCACAGCATGACTGGCGGATTGGCCCCCTCTGACAGCCTGAATGTCCATGGTGTGGTGCATGTAGAGAGTTAGTGCAGGTTGCGTGCCCATCGAGAGACACAAGTTGCTCTCAATAGATTATTGTTTGACAAGGGCTGGTGAGCTTCACGGAGGTTTGCCGGGACGCTGCTGTCAATTTTGCGCTGGGGTGGCGACGGAAGACAGCTTCTGTGTCGTGTGTAGGTTCTCTAAAGCCAGAATCACCATGACAGAATGCTTTTTGTGTTGAGAGTGTGGGTGCGATGTGGCCTGGGCGTCGTTGGTCGAGACAGGCTTCGAAATGGATCTGCTATTGGCATCCTCGGGAAGGGTTTCTTTGACGTCAGCCGCAAGTCCTGACAAAACAACTGTTTGGGATTGGTTGCCGCCTGGTTGCGTTACCCCCACAGCTGCGCAAGTGCTCTGTAGCACTAATGAACTCTTGGGCGAGTTCAAGTGTGGAGATGTGGAACGGACGTGGTGCAGGGGCCATGGTCCATCGGCTGTAGGTTTGTGTGCCGGTTGGCAGGCCCGCAACGTATGAGATTGCAAACTCGCTTTCGGCTGTTCACCGAGAAGAGTATTTGGTGGAATGTGTACCATATTGATGTGTGGCAATGTCCATGATGTAACATCACTTTGTGTCCTGAGGCATACCCTGTGCCTGCATTGCACCATGCGGTTAAACTCAACCTCAGACTCAGTTCGGGCTCAACGGCGTGAGTCGCACACCTTTGCTCACAGGATCCTCCCTGAGTGCCGTGCTGTGTTGCCTTGCTGCTGCACGTGCCCCTCTGTAGTGCGAGCTGTTCTCTTGCCCTCAGGCACTTCTGGGGCATCCTTTGCAGCGTGGAAGAGAGCTCACGAGCGTCTAGGTTCATGATCACAACAGTCTTAGCTCAATTTGCGTCTCCATTGCGGCAAGTGTTGGTCGCAACGATGCATTACTCGTGCATGGCATTGCAGCCCGCCTCGAATTTCAGATACTGAACACGACTCGACTGCGTACCATTTTCTTGTGCAAGCACAGTTATCGCAAACTAACGGGGCGCCGCTCTCGCTTTCCACCAGCATCGCCATTGACGGGTAGAACACTTGGCAGCAGCCAGCCTGGTCACCTCCAGCAGATTGTGTCTCCTTCAAGGGACAATCACCGTTCCCAAGCTCACTGCACGCGAGGATTTTTCCGTTTTGCACCCCTGCACGCGCCGTGACCTCCTCAACGCGTCAGATTCAGGAACGCTGAAATTGACCGTTAGTCCGGCGGGGTACAACACGACTCAACAACCGCCTATTTCCTCGTCAGCACCAGGTCTTGCCAGCCGCGACCTTGAGAGGAGGACAAACACAGGCAAGGGTAGGCTTTCGAGTGCACGCATCTATAACCAGCACACGATCACGACCATAGAGAGTGTCGTCCACAGGCGTGATGGAACGAGCAAAGACGTTAGTCGATGTCCGAGCTCCGAAACTGCGCACAGCATCTGCGCTCATCATTCCATGCCACGCGCCCACGGACGTCCCCTCGCGGCAGACCCAAAAGAATATTCTGCAAAAATCTCCCAATAAGTAAATCGCCGACGCTGTAATAATCTAAGAAAACCGGTAATATCCCACCCTGTCCTCTTGAACGCAGTGGCACTATTGCTGAAACAATGCCAAATGTAATAAGCGGTACACCAACCAGAAGAATGTAAAGTGCTGCTCCCCAATGCCATGGTGACAACCCTACGCCCACTGTACAGGCTCCGCCAACAGTCGGGTGTGTGCGTTCGACGTGCCGGAACGACAGCCTGTCTGGTGGGGTCACTCCCCACAGTGTGACGAACGGCATTGCCTGCCAGTGCCAAGGCAGCAGTGTTGCTCCCATGGACGCACCCGTGTGCCCATTGCAGCAATGACCGGCTGCAATGAGTCGACTATCTGGAAATCCGCCTTTCGGCGTCCGAGGTAGGTCCTGCTAAAAGTGCGCCACGTCTGGCGCTGCTGCTGGCAAACTTCGGCAGCAGAATGGAACGCGAGGCGGAAGAGGTCAGACCCGATTCGGCTTGCCACAGATCGCCAGCACTGGTGCCACACAGGCAACAGGGCTCCACTGACGTCCCCACACAAATGAAGAGAAGCCGAGGGGACAGGCTTGCTAATGTCCCTTCTCTGCGTTGTAATGGTTTATGTATCGAAATGGGACAAGACGCGACCTTTCGGTGTGCTGTCCTTCGCCAATCCCTGCGCCCAGACTTGGTGGGCGGGCCAACATGCGTCAAGACCGCCTCGTTTTTATCAGTTCTTGCTGCATTTCTTCCATGGACCACGCCCGGCCTCGTTCAGACTTCGTTTTTGCACAGCCACCTCTCTCTTCAATTGACTTGCTTTGCTTCCCTGATTTCAACGACTTGGCTGATTTCTGTTTACCAGGCACTGGTTCCTCTTCTTTCTTCCCACAACCTGCCTGTAGTTCAGCTGACGGCCGGTATGGCTGTGTGGTTTGCTCACAAATGCAGAGGCAGCTCCCGCCTCCAGTGAGCGCGGCTTTCAATGCTGCGCCCAGCCCCCGCAGGCTGGGTACCCGCCAGAAAACGAGACTCCTGACCTTGCGCAGGGCGCTCCTTGTGCGCCTGTCCTTGCTGACGTTGAAAGGGTGGAATAGGACGTCGCTGGGCCCAATGTGGCCCTGAAACGACTCCAACAGCTCAACCACCTCTGAAGCTGAGGGCCGTCGGCTTGGATCCTGCAGCACCACAACGATCCCTGAGGAATTGCAAACCTTCCAAGAAAGAGAAAACACTGGACTTGGGTGCCCGATCATTTTCTCTGAATTTCTCTTTCAGCAATGACGGCAACATCGTTGGCATCCAGGCCACCATAAATGTGACACAAAGGAGCTGCTCTCTATCGAATGACTGAAAGACAATATAGGCTGCGATTTTGTGGTAACACTGCAAGCTCTTGACAAGCTATAGGGTTCTCTGCAGTCTGGTTTTGGGGTTCAGGGCACACTGACTTTTATGAGTTTCCTACCTGCATCAAAAAGGCCATGATCTCAGCAAAAAGACTACAACATTGATTGGATGAGCTGGGCTGTTCTGGTTCACCTGCCGCCAGCACGCCACCACAACGTCCGCAAGCTCCTTGGGCATCTCCTGCGGCAACCTTGGGCGGTATCCCTTAGCTACACGGCCAGCAAACCTCTTGGCCTCCTCCCAACTCCTTGACCTCAGTACTGTGTCTGACATCAGCCGCCCCGTGAGCACCTCCAGGATGATGACCCCCAGGGAATATACGTCCGCCTTGTGGTTGTAGGCCTTTCCCAGGAACACCTCTGGTGCCATATACAGCCAGCTGCCCGTCTTGCTGGTCAGGCTGTACATGTCTTCATCATCCCCATTGCCAGTAAATTCAAGCACGCGTTGCTCTTCCTGGCGCACAACAAGAAGCCTGTTTGACTGCTTTGGTAACGCAATGCTGCACATCTATGCAGCCACATAGACTGTATCTTTACCCTGCTAGGAGTTGAGCTCAGACAGATGCCTTTCCTGGCCTGGTGCTGTTCATTTCAAGGCATTTGGCAATGCATGAACAAAGAATTGTCACCACAGAAGTTTTGCCACGATCAGCTTGGCACTGCCAACAGATGTTCCAGAGTGCTGAAGAGGAGAACAAACGGACCAACGTATTCTTGTCAAGAGAGTGTGCTCTCGCATGTGAGAGGGTTCCTGACCTTAAAACTGGTTGCAACAGCAAGCATTGCTGGCGGGTCGGCTCCAGGTGCCTTATGATACAGCTGACCGATGGACATTTGCGCACCCTGAGCAAATATACCCACCCACCCCTCGCCCCTAACCCTTTTCTCTCTCCTTGACAAGTCTCTGCACTTTTGAGATGTACACAGAGATTCTGCCGAGTTCACGTATTGTTTCACAGCAGAGTATGGATGTGGTTTTCTTTTCGTTGCAAAAACAAAAGAATTTTCTGCTCCAAATTGTGCTTCCCGTGGCCACACAGTCACTGACCTGGCGTGCCTGCGCCTCAGCCTCAGATAGCTCCACGGCCAGGCCAAAGTCCGCCAGCCTGATGCTTGCCTGGCTCAGATCCTCATGGCCCACCGTCAACAGGATATTCCCCAGCTTCAAGTCTCTGTGGACTACCCGCACGCAGGTGCTGTGCAGGTACTCCACAGCCCTTGCCACCTGTGCGCCAGACCACCGTGCACTCAGTGCAGTGCCTTGCGCAAGGCTCGGCATCAAACAATTGAGTGCCTACTGCGGCGCTTGGCGCCATGTGGTGGTATCAAAACCCTGCAATGGATTGCCAAGAGGCAAAATCAACTCTTCTGTTCGGCCAAGGGCAGCAAAGGTCTCAAAATGCCTGGTAATTTTCTCGGAATCAAAGTGGAAAACCCAAGCCTCAACAATCGGGGTCGGATGGCAAAGTGTGTGCAGATCGCGTACCTGGACGCACCACTTGAGCCCCGTCGCCAGACCGTACTTCGGCGGCCGCACGCTGCGCACTTCGCCCCGCAGCAGGTCCTCCATGGCGCCGCCCTCCGCGAACTCCTGCAGCTGGAAGGGCACCAGCCGCTCGTCCGACCGCTCCAGGCCGATGCCCTCGTGGCGCACTATGTGCCTGCGAGCGCGCCACACCCAACGAGTTCGGACACCCCTAGATGGCCCCCACACAACATTTCGCACCGGAGGCCCTGCATCATCTATTCACAGCGTGGACAAGAGTCTCGCATACACGCGCTTAGGAAGGGGTGCGCTTTGCATGTCCTGTCTCTCCGTCTCTTCGTAGCAAGTCTCACACCTTGACGTTCAAGATCCCTCGACCGGCGCGTCAACGAGAAACGTCAAGGCGTCAGTCGCCTAGAGGCTCGACCTTCGTCATTGAAGCGGCGTCCCGGGGAGCCTTGAAAACGCCATTTGGCCAAACGCGGCACGGCGGGTTCGAGATGCACCTTCGTACCTCATCGAGCGCCTGAAGCCGAGCGGTGGCCCCAGCTCCCGACGGTTTACTAAACCGGGGGCCACACACCGACCAGGGGGCGAGCCCATGAAAGGACGCGTCGGCGCCATTCAGCCGTCGGACGGAATCACGCTGAGGCGGGCCGAACAAGGTGATATTCCCGTCGAGTCGATCCCACGACGCTCCTCGGGTGACGCCAATGCGCCATCTTCCCAGCACGTCGGCAGCAAAAGCTGGGCGGGCGACGACAAAGGGGATCCCAGCCAGAGGAACCGTCCTCCATTACCACAAAGAGGTCTACGCGTGCCGCTCAAGCGGGAGGGGCGCACCAATGAACGCCAATCCGTGCGGGTTTCATCGCTCCCTCTCCCCTCCCTCGCCGCCTGGCTGCTCCCCCGCGGGTTGCGTGGCATTGACACCGCCATGCGTCAGTTGCGACCCGAATCACCGGCCGCCCGATCGGCCTTCGATCGGCCACGCCGCCTCAGATCGCCGAGGCGCCCTTCCGGCGAATCATTTCCCGTGTCCTACCCCGCAGACGCTCTCCGACAAGCCCAGCCAGCCTCGCCCAGGGATCCGCGCCATGCGACTGATTCGGTTTCTTTCGGGCTCACAGGCAAGCCCATGACTCACTTTCGCGCGGTCGCATTCACGGCCAAGGAGTGCGCGCGAACCGCAGGGGTGGGACTCCGCCACATCGAGCCCATCCACGAGCACATTCACAGCCACAACAAACACAGAAACAAACGCCGCTGTGAAAATCACTTCGCCTCCTCGTTCTCCCTTCCTTCCCAGTCCCCAAGCTCTCCGCCAAGCTGCCCAGTTCCATCGGCTGGCCCCACACCCCAAATCGCGAACCCCATTCCCAAAAAAACAGTATCAGACACCCAAGAACGGTCGCCTTAGGCCCCACCCCTTCCCCCCTCCCTCCCCCACCCCCCACCCCCCCACCCACACCGCGCCACCCACCTGTGATCCAGCTTGGACAGCAGCGCCGCCTCGGACATGAACCACCGCAGCTGCTCCTCATCGTCCGCGGCCCATGGCTTGAGCTGCTTGCGCGCCACGGCCTGGCCCTCGCGCAAGCACTTGGACACGACCGCGAACGTCCCCTGCCCCACCTGGCCGCATCTGCTCACTTCGCATTCCTCGCCCTCCGGCACCCACCTCAGGCTCTTCTGAGAGTCGCTTGCCAGCCCAAAGGCCTCCAGAATCGGCGATGCCGCCGAGGACGGGGTGTCGTAAAACGGGCAGCCTCCTGGTGGCACGGCGGCGTCCCGCCGCGGGCCCGGGGACCCGGAGCTGGACCCCCCCGCGGCCATGGCGCCAGTTTGGGCCCCTGTGTAGAGTTTTCAGCGGCGTTGGCCGTTGACCGTGGTCAAAGCCACGTGGGCGAGCGGCCAGCCGCTCGCCGCATCGTCTGCCAGAGGAGACCGTGTCGTGGTCAAAAATGGACACCACCGGGGGGCAGGGTGGTAGGATGCGAAGGGGTGAGTGGGGCGTGGCGTGATGCGTGTCCACGTGGACCGAGTTATGCGTCTTTTAGGGCGCGGGGGCGGTGTTATGGATGGCTGGTGGGGCGGTTGGGTGATGCTGCCGTGTGCGTGACGGGGCCGTTGTGGGGTGTGGCCTGCCGTTGGGCGTGGGAGGCATCGCGGAGGGAGTTGCGCGGATCTCTCGACCTGCTTGAGTGTGCGCCGGTCGCGGCTGACTGTCGCTCAGTATGGGCACGGGGATATGCGGTTGGTGCAGCTGTACACGCGCCGGGATCGCCGGGGCTTCGGTGGTTTGTGCGGCGAAAGCCGTAGAGCCACATTGCTAGAGTGGGGCAGCTTCGGGAAGGGGAACGCAGTGTCCGCAGTGCGAATGGATGACGCGAACGGGACTGATGACGACAATGACGACTGTTGAGACTGGACTGCGGATGGTTTCCTCACTACGAAACGGGGTAGCGGCGAGCCTCTGAGCAGGAGAGGGTCCCAATTTGAGCGAAACAGTGGTCAATTCCCCTACCAAATTGGCAGTGTTAGCATCAATGTTGACGTTGAGCCAGTGCTGCTATGTGTAGTAGTGCGGTGTGCTCTTTTATCAATGTGCTGATGCTGAGTCAATGCGGGTTTCAAAAAATCGCTGTCTAGAGAGGTACGGGAACCTGTGACACTGCGGTATGATGCTTCCGAAACTTCACAGGGGTGTATACGAGACGCTCCATATAATCCTGTCATGGGAGGATTGTGCGGGCGCCACTCTGGTCGACAGTGGCACCCGCCAAACTTGCTCTTGACTCGTCTCAACGGTGCCGCAGGCCCTCAGCTTGGAGTCCGCATCTGTCGTCCTACGGCTATCCCGACAGTCTTGGTGGCGCTTGGTCGAATTCACCACACTCAACGTCATGTGGACGCTGGAGCCCGTTGGGCTGGAGTGGCCGGGGTGGACACCCCAGTGCTCTCCTGTGCTTGGCCCTCTTTGCCTGCTGAATTGTCGCCGCGATATTTGAAGTACCACTTTCGAAAATACCAAACGACTGGCACTCTCTGGCAAATGCGTTGCCACTCGCACCGATGCTATACATTGCAAACATGCAAGAGACAAAAGATAATGGAGCAGTGGGTGCATGTCGTAGCTGGCACTCCCAACGCATTGGCACAGTAGTGTCCGCTCCAGCTAATCGATTCTGCCAAGGACGCCCCACAATCCCAGCATTGCCATCCATTCCACAAGCAAGTGGATCTACATCTAAATCAGGAATAGAAACCACGTCAAAATCCATGCTTTGTAGAAGGACTGCCCCACCCCATCCCCTGTCCACCTCAACCCTGACATGTGTGTGTGCACCGGTGGGGGGCAGTTTCCAGCCAACCCTATCGTGCCTTCCACTGCCTGAGGCACCACCAACTACGATCTTGCCGCCTGTCCATCGTCAACAGACCCTTAACCCTGGCCCCTTTTATGCAATCAAATCTTCTTTGATCAACATCACCACAGTGTGGCAGGCGATGCTGCGCTCCTCGCCAATGCTGTCCACTTTTTCATGTGTCTTGGCCTGCAGAATGGAAAAACAATTGAGAAGCGCAACCTGTGCTGCGACCGGCAAGGCATACACCAGAACAGCTTTGACAACAGCTCTAGGAGGTACAGATAACACATACAGGACTTGGACACCGAGCATGACGCCGATGACAACAGTGGAACAATAACAGTGGCACTGAACTTATGCTATTTACATTCAGCATAGTGTTACACAACTTCTAGCCATATATATATATATATATCAGTGTCATGTCAATTTATCCCACAAAACAACATATACATATGCCCTCAACCCGTTGCAGCCTATCACAGCAGCAATGGCGTCGTCTGCAGAGTCAGCACTACAATGTATCAGGCGTATATCCTGACGCCACATATCCCCAACAGATGCTGTGCACTGTCAGCAAGTGCAGCTGCCAAATTCCCAGGAAAACTCTTCTGGGGTCGATGGACAGTTTCTGCAGCAAGCAGATGGGCAGCAACCAACAAACTTGAATTCAGCATCTGAGGCAACGACATAGTGCTCTCAAGACAACATCGAAGCCGTTGCGCAAGGGGATGAAGTGGAAACAAAGAACCCAGGAGGCCACAACAGCCAGCTCCAAAACTGTGTGACAGCTTGCCTTGATGTTGATGACCGATGGGTGGGCATCCAGCAGCCGGCAAAGATTGTCGCGAATGGCAACCTATGGTGGCAGGCCAACAGAAAATTCCTGAGCGACATGAAGTTAACAAGCAGTGTTCTTGGAGCCAATACGCTTTCGGATCCAGTACATAGCAAAGTACTCTCCTGGTACGGGTGGAACTTAGCTGTGCTTGCTTGCGCAGAACGGCACAAACCACAACAACGCCTCAACAGTGCAGGGTAGCACTTTACCACTGTGGACATTGATCATCCAGGGCTGAATGACACGCAGACTAAGCGCCATGGCAAGCAAAATTCGACGTCAGTGCCGTGCAGCGCTGGAAGGTACAAAACAAACACACAGAGATACTCTACCCTGAGGCCCTGCTGGTTTCCCTCACATCCTTCAAGTCTACATTTTGCTTATGCATGTGTCACCATGGCAGAGGGGCTCTGTGCTACAGACACTTTGCCCCCATGTGTTTTTGCCCTCTTTTCGCTACCCGGGCCTTGCGCCGGTCCATCCTGCCAACGTGCAGCTGAGCTCTTTGCACAGTGGTGAGCATGCAGGTCAAACAAGCAGTCATCCCAGCCCCAAACAAATGCATGAAGTCTTTCAGCCAATGCACACAACCAGACGAGACCCAGCACCATTTCGACACTTCTCCACAGCAACATTATCATATGGAAGGCGAGGAAGGTGCTTCCCTTGCCTTGTGGGGAGAGAGTTTGGGTTTCTGGGCTATAAGCGTTGCATCGAGGTTCCCTATGACATAACCCCGCTCACGCATCAACCTGACCTACACACCAGACCCACACAGTTCAGTGCCAGTTTCACTAAAGCACACATTCTCACCCATCCAGCCCAAATTGTGCTGTGTCAAACCCTGAAACAGGATCGGACAACAGCAATGATGCCATAATGATGAGCTGCAGTGTGTATTTCATCGTAATGCCATCATGCAAGCAAGCAATCAGAACAATCACAGAGTGGAACAACCGAGTTTCCATATTCAAAATGTCAGAGAACTTGGAAACAAACAAGAGCACACTTACAAAACAGCTGGTCGCGGCCTGCATGCTCACTTACAGACTCTGCAATGAATATGTGTGAAGCGGCACCCTTCCATTTGGGGTCGTTGTCTGGAAACATCTGCCCTGTAAGTGCACAGAGGAGCGCATTTTGAGATCCTAACATATCAGGCTGTGTTCCAGCTGATGAAAGCAAGGTTTTGGAAGGGATGGAACAGTCAGTAGATATACAGCAGCCTGAATCACTGCCTGCACAGTGTGATTTCCACAATGACAATTTAGTGTCTTTGCAAAACTGCCATTCGATGGATCCCTGATTGGCCTATTGCAACTCTGCATTTTACACCTGTCAATAGACATAACAATGCTCAACACATGTGCCTGTAATTGTCAGCCAGGGGATGTCAGCTTGATTGTTGATTTACGCTACTGGCCAGCAGTTATTTCATGAAGCACAATTGCAGTCTTGAACCGAGTTTCCCTGCCATACAGCTGTTGTTCTCTTTTTCCTTGCATTCCATTTTTCGTTGATTTATCTGATTCTTCCAAGGAGAAGAATAGATCTCATGCAAAAGTCACACCATTCAAGAGCGGCAATTTGTAGGCAAGACTTGCTTCCATGCTCAGGACTGCTGCAGCCAATGCAACAGCGATTTTCCAATTTTCGAATTATCCTAGGAGAAATAGCACATAGGCAGGTTCACAGTTTGGTGTTGCCAAAATAGTGCTACGACTCAGAAGAGCTTGCAGGCGCTGAAGTACATGCTTTGCAACAACTTGCAAACTTGATAGGCAGGCGATCGACAGTCATGCAAGCTGTCCGCAAGCTTCCACATGTTGCTCCCAAACCCTCCCCACTTGCCCATCGTTGGTGGAGTGTGGGCACTTTGACAAACACAATAGGGAGGAATTTGGTTCCTTGCTATAAACGGTCATCCCTAGGCAAGCACCCACCGATATCTGGCAGGCTTAATGCGCCATTAATGGCATCCACGATGCAGTGCAGCAGCACATCACCTGAACCGCAAGCAATGCAGCTCTCAGCGAGTTCTTCCACTTCATTCTCCCCAGTTATTCCTATCCCATTTCACATAGCAGTGCTGTGCATACAGTACTGCTGCAATACCAAGAATGGTTGCCAGTGCAGATATGATAGCATCTGGGCTACTGGGCATCTGAGCACATACAGTCAAATACACAAGCAGAGTGGAAGCCGTACATGGAAAAGTGACAAGATGTCAATATGACACAAACCCTTTAAGGGAGAAATATTGCAAAGTCCCGGAAGGATAGTTTAACAATGAAGTGCTTCTTTAACTAGCCCCTTTGAGGGCTTGAAAAGAAGTCTTGCATGCACCTACCTTCAAGGTGCACATAGGCATTTCAGGGTAGAAGGCAGAAAACATCTGTTCCAGTGGTCAAATTCAATGGCAAGAAGAATGGCTCAGTGAATGGTGGAGGCGTACAAAATCGCTTCAGTATCATCTTTCACAGCATGGAACCCACGTCTAAGAATCCTGAAAAGGGTGAGGGATTGGTACATGACATGTTTCCCGTTTTGTCTGCACAAGAGCAGTGGATGTGAACCTCAACTGATGCCAATTAATAGCCTGTTAGTGATACATTTGAGGGCAGTGCTCTGACCCATTCTGACACAAGAAATCTGCACAAACTGACAGAAGGTTGGCGCACCATCGGAGTGCGCCTCGCATCCTTTCGTGTGAGGGATAGTTATTCCACCAATAATGAGGGGGTAGCCCTCAGCCAGCCTGTGCAAGTCGAAGCCATGGCCCACACGATACGGGAGCACTGGAGGGGCATCCTGTGCTGATGTGCTGCTGGGAGCCTCAACAGCACTGCTCACTGCGGGGGCGCTGTGGTGGAGAGAGCACAACAGGGTCAGACGCATGCTCGTGGCTGGCGCCCACAACCAAGATGTGGATATTATTAGTGGAGTTGCCATCACAGCCTGGCAAGATTGTTGTGTATTGCAGTTCTTAGCTATGAACTCACTGCTTCACAGCACTGCGGAAATATGGTAAAAGCCCACAAGGAACAGTGGTGTCTTCACCACGCTGGTTCAACTCGATTTCTGTGACAGTTCACCTTCACCCTGGGGTATGTTGGGCATTGATGCAAGATCTACAAGCAATGCACTTCTCAAAAAGCCAGGCAGCTTGTAGGCGATGGAGACTGTTGCAATCAAGAGACTTCTGCATCATTTCCTCCAGCATCGATTCCCACAAACATACTTGGTCAGGTGGTAGGTGACAATACCACGAAAAGCATTCCTTCTTGTCAAAATGCATGTTGGGTGTTGGTGTGGGAGGCCCATGGCGCATGGGCATCTGCACAGCCAAAGAGAAAGAATCTGGACTCCACATCACTGGACATGGGCCTGCATTTTGACAACATTACTGGAGGGATGTGTGCCTGACTGAGACTATGATCAGCCTGGACCAGTTTGTTCGATCGGGTTGTCTTGTTGGACCTTTGAACCACAGCAACACAATGGCAGTGCAGAAGAGTCTAATCTGCATGTTGCGACTGTGGAGGGCATGATGGCGCACCTTGAGCATGGTCTTCGGTCCAAACGGCTGCTTTGAAACTCCCGCCTTGGTACCTTCAAGGTGAAATACAATCCAATGTGACGGGCATATCCACACTTGGAACATGTATCAATGAGAGAAGCCAATTGTTGAACGCACTCAATATAGCAATAGAGCAATAGAATGGGACAGACAAAAGGGTGCAGTAAGGTAGGAAATCTAATGTACGGAATGGACACACTGCACACATGTGTCAGAAAATGTCACCTTTTCTTACTGCATCCTTAATTTTGGCTGCATTGGTGCATCCTGCCCAACAGACAGGGGGCCTTGATACTGAGTGAGTAGTGCAAACATTGTCAACAGTGCTCTGCAGCAGTGTACACTGAGCCTGAACAGCTTCAGCAAGTGTTGGTACACCCCATTCTTTCAGCAGATTAGCCTGACTTTGATCTGCCTTTCCATTTTGAATTTCAGCTGTGCATCAGCCACACTGTGCATGTGCAGCTCAGGCAGAATTGAGCTGTATGCTTCATGTTGCTGCACACACCTTGGAATCTTTTTTGATTCCAGGGAAATGTGATGTAATATTTTGGAATCAGAAAGAAAAAAACATGAAATCAAAGCAGCAAACGTTTGTGTTGCTTTGTCTGGGATACACTGAATTGCAATCCAGTTCAAAAGATCTTTGCCACCCATCCAGGTTTGTGAATGGTGACACCAGGCAATTCGCACAGCGTTACCGCTACTTAGGTGTGTCTATTCTAGTGCATTGGGCTCCTAACTTGTGGAGACACGCAATCTGAAGTAGAAAGAAACCTTGGCTAGCATGGCTGACTGCAACAGCTTTGCCAAGTTTCAGCACAGTCCACTAATGAGCAGCTTGGACACAGCCCTGAAATAGCATCATACACAGACTGAGCCAGCCTTGCAGCCACAAATACAGCCTTGCATGGCAGTCCTTGCAAGATTGGTTCATTTGCCGAGCGGACCCAGACTGTTTCCTTGCATTCTGCGATCAAACTCTTGCCATGCCACCCGCATAGACGCCTTCGCATCAACATCAAACAGCTCACAGGAGGGATGGAACCAAGAAGACAGTGCAAGCCAATTTCAACAGGGATGAAAATCACAGGGCACAGACGGAAGGTTCTGTGGCTGCCTCAAACAGGGCACTGGCGCATGAGAATCTCACACCGCTGCGTTCTTGGCTACATTGTATTTGTGAGCTGCTTGAAATAGATGTCAACAGGTTGAGCATGTATTTGGGCACAGAACGAACTGCACCCCTTGCGAACGTCTAAGTGCCCATCATCATCCTCAAGGTGCAAGGGCCCTGATAGTCACTACGTTGCTACAACCGTCAACCATGGAGTTTCGGCCTTCACAGTAGAAGGGCACACATTGCGCCCCGATTACGAGAGACGAGGGCTCACGAAGGTCCAAGGACCTTAGGTGCCGATGCACAAATCGTCCCGTTTGATACATTGACATGTTCACGATGTCGCCCACGACTTAACCATATGTTGCTCAACGCGGAGCGTAACGAAATCAGCTCGCTCCAATGCCTCGATCACGACATGGATAGCCGGCGCGGGGGGGACGCGAGTGGGAGTGGGGGGGCCTCACCGCGGCAGGGGACGGCGATGAGCCCCGGGCGGCCGCACGCACGGCGCACTGCCGCGAGGGCCTGTCGCCCTTTGCGGCGCCGGCCGACGCTCTGGCGTGCATGGCGAGGGAAAGGAACTGGGGAACGAGGGGCTGAGCCACAGTTCTCTGGACTGAAGAGAAGAGATTCGATGACGATACAAGTACACTGCTGTTAGCATGTATGCGATATAGGCAATCGGGGGTAAAACGGCCTTATATCCCAGTCTGTATGGAGCGTTTTTGCCTTATATCCCGGGATATAGCCTTATATCCCAGGGCTTCGCCCAGTACATTGTGGCGCCAGGGGCGCCCCGCCCCACACGCCGGCGCCAGCGCCGGCGATCAGCGATGGTGGCGCGGCCAGCGGCGCAGCCACGGGCCGTGGACCCAGGAGCGCTTGCGAGGGGCGCCTCGCGCCCCAAAGTGAGCACGGAGCTGCGACCGAAGACAGGTTGGCGAATCTCCGGCCGCTCGTCCCGTTTGCGGGGCGCCGGCAACTGCGAACCAGAGCGACCGCCGGGACCGCCCATTGGACCTGCTGGCGGCCCGCTCACTGCGTTGGTGGCGCCCTCGTTCGAGGGTGCCCAGTGGCCCTTATTCGCAGGTCTTGGCAGCTGGCGCTGGGGCCCCATCGCCCCGCGCTCTGCCCGCCGCGCTGATCGCGGGGGTGGCGCGGTTCTGGCGGGGAGGGGCGGAGTTGGGCCGGCGGAGCACCGCCAGCTCGGGAATAGCGCATGCAGGCGCCTCATCAGCGCGTAGCTGGCGGCCGGATATGGGGATCCATCGCGCCGCGTGCCGCCCGTCGCGCTGATCGCGCGGGTGGCGAGATTCTGGCAGGGCCGGCCTCCTGGGGCCCGCGGGCCGGCGGACCGCCAGCCCGGAAACAGTGCCCGCGGGCCCCCTCAGCAGCGCGTAGCCGGCAGCCGGCAGTGGGATCCACGGCGCCGCGCACCACTTATCGCAGGACGAACGGTTGCCCAAGTGACCGGCCCTGAGAGCTGTAGCATATGGCACCGTCCATGCCCGATCAAAAGCTTGTCCTTTCGTTGCTTCGCTGCGAAGCCATCCTTGTTGATCCTATCACTGGCCTCCTGACGTGCCACTTCGTCAGGAAACCTCACAAGTGGATTGCATCACAAAGAAAGGCAAAACTTTGTTACGGGGTGTTTCTGAAGGCCACTGGCCGGTAGGCCAAAGTAGCACAACTGATATGGCCAGTATGGCTCTGGACAAGCATGGGCCTGGAGATGCTCCGGTCGACGCCAGTCCTCAGCGTAGGTGTTAGAGTTGCCGTTCAAGGCTCTGGCCATTGGCTGATCTTCCCCAACCTAGGGGAAGCAATATCACAGAAAAGGACTTTTAAGATTCTGGAAGCCGGGTCGCATCTTGGCAGGGTTACAGGATGAAAGGTGCTACTTGCACAAGTAGCAGCTGCGCCATTATGCAGTCAAGTTTGAGCTCCCAACACTAGAATGTATAACAGATGCCGACCAATTTTTCATCTGTGGAGATGATGGTTTTATCGAGGTAAGTGGTTTTTGTGACCTATCAGCTGTATTGCGAAGTACCTCATATGTATTTGATTTGAAAAATGTACAAACGATATGGACGTTCAGCACTCAAGCATTGGCATCAACAGTTGTAGTGCTTTCAAAAGCGTAAATGCCAGTGCATGCACGTGCAAATTAGTTGGGTTTGCAGAACACCAACGTCTGGGATTTACTCAAGACTTCAAAACGCAAGTGCCAAAAGCCTATAGGATGTTTCTATTTCCAAACAACAACGACAACATTTGGCAATACCCAGGTAGATTGCAATTTGTGAAATTTTAAACATGCCCTTCAAATGGGAGGCCGTTGAAGGCTCCAATGTGTTGGGCATTTCTGCATTCTGTGAAAAAAAATCTGTGACTTTGTGAATTCTGAGAATTCTTTTTGAGCGAACAATGTGAATTCTGGCATAAAATACTCAGAGCACAATTCAACAACTCCTCACATCACAAGTCAGGGAGATCTGACAGCAGAAAACAGAGAAATCTGGCTCATTGACTCAACGAATTGTGACAGCAGCGTTCAGCGAATTGTGATCACACTTTAGCATTCATCACTCAAAGTTAAGCGTCAACGCCTTGAGTACCTTTGGGTTTCTGAAACGTCATAAACATGTTCAAGACGGCTGGGTGTGCAAAACTTGACCATCAGTATATGGCAGTCGTCCGGTTTTTCAAAATGTGAATGCAAAGTGGACGCCATGCTCATGTTTGCGCCACACACAATGCAAACGCAAAAAGATGCTCACTTGCGCCCGCATCTTATGCACAACGGGGGCCGCACGATAGTGATTGACGCGAACAGTGACATATGCCTTGAAATTTTGGGGCTTTGCATCGTTATTTAGTACGCATGTTGTACCCAATGTAGTATATACTTATTCTGTACTGCTGCATTGGACCCTCCAACACAATTCCTATGTGTGCTGCCGGCTTGCAATGGATAGCTACCCACTATAGTGGATGCAAATGAGTTGTGAGCAAGGAAAAGGCATCCCAAAGCAGCACCCGACTGTGATGACAATGGCAAAATTGGGTGAATCAGATACCTAAGGATTCAAAGAATTTCTGCGTACGTACGGTATGGTATACTGTGACCAGAGCGTATTGGCTGATATTGTGCCGACTTAGGCCATTACAAGCTCATACAAGGTCGTACAGTGCGGTCCACACTACCGTACATAATAGTGGTACGTAGTTTTGAAACACATAGGT